CAGGGGCCCTTCAGTGAACTCAGGCTACTCCTCCCGGTCAGAACACATGTCCAATCAAAGGCCAAGAACACACATAGGACAGGAGTCATGGCCGCCACCGTTACATGCCCTCTCCCGTGTCCTCTGGGGGTACAGGGAAGTAAACATCATATCCCAGTTCAAAACCTCGGAGTCTCCTGCAGGTGGTGGTGAGGGAAGCCCCACCCTAGGTCTTGACCTCTATATCTGCAGCCACCTCCCAGGTGGGGAGCTGCCCTGGATCAGGGAGGGACCCCTCATATCTGAGGGCCCTTCTGACTTGAGTCCCTAGGACTCTGACCTTGAAGATAACCTCCAAGTCTCAAAGCTGCGGTCCCATTAAATATGCAGACATATCTTGCACAGGGTGGAAGTCTCTGGAGTCAGGCTTTGAAGGTGGCTCTGGGGGAGGAAAGCCCCTCCCAAGAGTCTGCAGCAGCTTGTGCATGGGAGGGGCAGTCGTGCCACCCAGGAAACCCTGGGACTGGACTTGGTACCAGAATCCTAGCAGTCGGCATGACAGTGCAGCCCAGCTCCACAAACGCCCACTGCTCTCATGCTTTCAAACCAAGGTGCTGTCCGGCTGTCATCTGGCTTGTCGGTGTTTTTCTCTCTGCTGTGCAGCAGGTGGGGGGAGCACACAGGTGGGGTGTAGCTCCCATGTGGGACTAGGCTCGGCATCCCCAGGTCCAGTCTGCAGAGCCCTCTGCTTGGTGAGTGTGTCCCAGTGCTGTGGTGAGAGCTTCCAGCTTTCCTTGTCCACAGAGGGGGTGAATTCCACTGGCCACCCTCCAGATCTGGTCTAGACATCATTGGGGGACAGAGGAGGCCTTCAGGTGAGCACAGCAGGACAGATCCCTCTGAAGAAATGCAGTCAGAATATTCCTTAGAAGCAAAGATGGCGAGACTTGGGCTCGCTCTGGGCACGTCTTCGAGGAAAGAGCGTGGTTGGTGAACCAGAGGGCCAAGCAGAAACCCAGGAAGCCCTCCAGGAGACGGATGGACCCAACAGCCACCGTGGGGGACTCAGCGTCCCAACAAGCAGGAAGGTGGCCCACTCGAGTGCCGCTGCTACACATATGTCACCGCCAGCCAGAGCCCACTCAGCCACAACGGACAAAGGCAACAAGGACCAGAGACTTGGGCCGGCAGTGGTGTGCTGGGGCACGGGGGCCACTCACCGCCCCCATCTGGAGCTCACCACTGAGCAGGACTGTGTCGCGTAGCTGGGAGCATGTGGCACCCAGGAAACACAAGTCAGTGCCAGAGTGTAGCTGTCAGCCTGGCCAGTCACCAGCCATGGGCCTCAGCCTCACCATCGCAGGAAATCACCATCCGATCCCCACTTGGGTGCAAGAGGCCGCATCCCTGTCCACATC